AAAAAAAAAAAAAAAAAAAAAAAAAAAAAAAAAAAAAAAAAGCGATACATTCTGAACTGCTCCTATAGGCACGGCACCCTCCAAACTATCCTCAATAGATCCTTAGGAACGCAAGCGGCCTAAATTTTTCAGGTTTGTAGTTGATCGAAATCCTGCAAATTTTAAGATTATTTTATAATTACAAATATTTTTTAGTGCGGAGGGAGGAGTAACATTAATTTTTAGATGATTTTAAATTATTTCTTCGGAAACTTTGGGTTGAAAAGCAGCAGATACCTTTCCAAGCAATACTGTAGCAAATAATTTAGATTCCACCGTCCCACGGTCCCTAACAATCGTAGGAAAATCTGTTTTTATCATGCTGATAAAATTAAAACGAATCAATCCTTTTTATTAGGTAACCAATACCACACCTGATCTGCCGGTTCCTTTACACTTAGCCCCGAGTGATCTTTGCCTGATACCTTCAAACTCGGGTCACCTGGCCAGGAATCAAACCCGGGACTTCTGACCACAAGGCCAGAAACCTTCGATTAAGCGTGCGTAATACAGTGGCTCTGAAAGAACTCTCAGAAATCATGTTTCTAGCATGAAATAATAGAGGAAGTACCATGATAATGTCCCCTCTCTGGAACTAAATGTCAGACTATTAGGCACAATGAGAGTTAAAAGGAAAAGTTGGGACAGTCATCAAATTTGGACTCTCCAGGAAAGCGATGATATTTGGTCTGCTTTACTGCCCTTAATTCATTACTCTACATATGTGGGTACAAATGACATACAAGTAATTAGTGTTCTAGTACATAGAGGCCAAGTCTACAGAAAATTCTCTAATTTTCTGAACATGTGAACGAACACGCAACGAAAGTGGGTAGTGTTTGGATTCCGCTGCTCCAATTTTGAATTCTCATCAAAATTTTATAAGATATTTTTTTCTAAGATTAAAATATCTAGAATCATTGTTTTGAGCAAGAGTTACTTGCAGGCCCCTTCTCACAGATCTGGCCGCAAATATATTTTCCATGGTAAACAATAAATTTTTAAAAATATTTACAAGTTCTCCCGGTCGTTTTTGAAATTTTAGGGGGGGGGGGCAAGCCTTGGATCAATTTTACCTAATTCAAAAGGGAGGATGAGAGATTGTGTTACGGGTGTCTCGCACGACGGAAAGCAGGGGAAGGGGTAAAAAAGCCATATTGCTTCACTGGAAAAAAATTCCGACCGTGGAAGTCGTACTTACGGGCCATATAGACATATCGTCCGCGTTCCGGGCTCAGAAACCGAAAGGTCCGGGCGTAGCACCCGAAGCAATCGAAGCTACAGCTCCAGCAACCGGAACTTTTGGCCTCTTGGACTAGAACGGCCAGTACGTCTATGCGTATACCGCGTAACATTTTTTCAGTGCTTACGGAATACTTGAATGGCGCCCAACCGAGGTTTTTTTGCCTTATGCTTCGATTTCCAATTCTCTTTTTCATGTTCTGTTTTCACAAAAATTGGCTGCAATCAATTATCTGAAAGTGAGTGGCCGATTGGACCGCGCGTTTAGCAGAAAGGAACCAAGCCACATCAGCTATTGCCAAATTTAATAGAGCCGCATATAATTTTTTACAAGAAACATTTCTGCGGATTCCTTTGAAAATTACAAAGAATTTGCATACTATGTAGAAAATTCATTGATTTTTGCACAAAAATCTGCATTGCCGTTTTCATTTAAAATATTGAATCGCCCAATTCGTGGCTTGGTTCTCTGCTCAACGAGATCCAATTCTGTTTTCACAAAAGTTGGCTGCAATCAATTTTCTGAAAGTGAGCGGCTGATTGGACCGCGTTTAGCAGAAAGGAACCAAGCCACATCAGCTATTGCAAATTTAATAGAGCCATATAATTTTTTACAAGTTGAAACATTTCCGCGGATACCTTTGAAAATTATAAGGAATTTGCATACAATGCAGAAAATTCATTGAAATTTGCACAAAAATCCGCATTGCCGTTTTCATGCAAAATATTGAATTGCCCAATTTGTGGCTTGGTTCTCTGCTTAACGAGATCCAATTCACTGAAAAAAATTCTCGGCGTTCTTACCAAGGTCCGTTGGTACCTTTACCATCTCACTTTTTATACCAATTATTGGTAATTTTACCAAGACAGACTGGGAAGCTTACCTAAAAACCGGCATTTCTACTGTTTTTTTTTCAGGTAAGAATACCACTTTTATTGGTAATAAATTGCCGGTAACTTTGCCATTTTATCTCGGTAATTCTACCACAGTCGATAAAAAATATTGGCGTTTTTACTAAGGTCCAGTAAAATTACAAAGAAAGTTCAATACTTTTACCGAGATTTCTCGGTAAAATTATCAATTCCATAAATGGTAATTTCACCAAGAAAAAACTGGGATCATATAGAACCCTGAATTCTTGGTAATTTTACCCTTTTCTTATAGTAAATACACCGAGATTTTTTTTCAGTGCAATTCTGTTTTCACAAAAATTGGCTGCAATCAATTTTCCGATAGCGAGCGGCTAATTATTCCATTTTTAAATCCGGCAGCGTCGCATTATGTTTATGAATAGGAGGAAATCCTGCCGCACCCGGGATGGAGCGCGGACTCGGAGCCGACAGGGCAGGACGCAGGACCGACCGCGACAATCAAAAAGACAGTAAAAATGAATTAAACGCAATTAACCCTGAAACCGCTCCCGATTGCGCCCGCGACGTCATCACGCGCGCATACGCCGCCGCGAATACCGCGCCGTGATTTCTCTCCGATTCAATTTGATGTCATAAAAAGATAGTTTCCTCATGATTGCGATTTTTATGCGTTTACTGTTGTTTCCACCGTCGCGTCCCGGGCCGCCGAAGAAAGGGCCCCTGAAATTGAGATCGCGCCCGATACCCTGGGAAAAACACACCGAAAATTGAGATTAGTCTGCGGCGACCGGGGCTTCATTTGCATGGAGCACATGGAGTTAGAGTTACCGCGTTAATAGTGTTTTTGATGGTGCCTCGCGAATATTTCGCTCCGTTCTGCTTAATTCCCGCCCAGAGATGGCATATTTTGGGGCCCTCGTGTCGGATAATTTACCAGTATGAGTGGGTGTAGCAAAAGTCAACATCGTCAACGAGAGCCAATCAGGGGAAAAATGGGCCGAGTTCATCAGGAAGGAACCGACCCACATAAAGTTGAAACTGAGAAAAAGAGGCTCGAGGTTGTATTCCTCCATAATGTAGAAAATAAACTTTTGCCCCTCTTTTCATAGACGATGTCCGACGGATGTCCAACAGATTTCCAACGGAGAATAATATATAGTTGAGAGTTTTGGTAAAAATGGGGGAGCGTCAATTCGATGAGAAAAAATTCACTAAAACTCTCTACAGGACTTAATTATCTTTTAAGGAATTCCCATCTTGTTATACCTGAACCGGATAAACCTCTATATTTGCCTCAGCTAAAGGCTCTTAGATTTTTCCAGTGTACGTCAAGTATCTTGATATATTTTGCGAGGAAAGATCTGTACTTTTAAAGGATGCCTGTCATTCTTAATACGTTCAATTTTGTATAATACTGTGCAAGAACCGCTGTTGTGAAATAGTTGCTTCAGGCGCCGCCGCACGGCGCGGCAGGCGGGCGGCCAGCGCGAAACGCGCCTACAAACCTAAGTGGATACTTCAAGCATTGTGCAATGCGTGGAGTATCCACTTAGGTTTGTAGGCGCCAATGAGCCTCTCTCTCTCTGGCAGCACGCCGCTCCGCTCTGTTAGGCTTTAATATTTATACTCGCATAGTCAGCGTTTTTAACTCATGATTTTGAAATGTTTGCACACTCTGCATTGATTATTCTCATTTAAATTGATAGGAAAAAAATATGTATAAATTTATCAAAGGAGAATAATAATATAATGTGTGTTTTTTAAGTATTGGTGGTTCCGTGTCAAATTTCATGATTTCCAAAGCACTTCAGTTTTTTCTTTTACATTTTGTGCTTTTATTGTGCTGCAGCGAGGTGTACGCGCGACGAAACGCTCAAAATTTGACGTATTTGACTCTAAAAGATCGATGTACAAATGGGTTAAAACTAAGGATTGCGTGCTGCTTGGTTTTTTCCCCTCTTTTATTCATTTTTGCTGTTTCTGTCGGCACAACTGCGGCTCATTGAGATTCATGTCGCTTATTGGAAAAGGTTTTACAAATATTTGTTACGTTTTAAAAATATAAATGTTTTCAAAATGAAGTAATAATTTCGTAAAGAAAAAATTAAAAAAAATAAAACAAAGTACCTATACATATATAAGGTATATTGTACATCGAATATTTTAAGGATAGAAATAAAACCAAATATTCACCAATGAGAATTTAAAAAGATGATTCAAAAGGAGAGAGTAATAAAATTTCATTTAGGAAATGAGCAACCATAACAACACCTCCCTCTCTCTCAATTTCTCATTTCCATATTGTCAATATAATTTTCCATACCGACTAAAATATGACGCATGGACCAAGTCACTGTTGCTTATTTTACGTGTGGGCGTAAACTACTGAACAAAAAAGGTGCGCGGACAAAAAATCGTTGACAAAATGTCCTGAAACCGCTACATCGAAGAGAAAGAAGTCAACTTTACGACTTAAAATTTTTACAGAATATGCTGTTAATAGCGAAGAAATGGAGATACGTGGTTTCGCACTTCAGCCATCGGTACGCAGCCCCTAGGAAATCCTCGAAATTTAAAGGAAAACGAACTTTCACATTCCAGTGAAACGAAATTTCCTGTAAAATTCAATTTGATCCCTGAGCATCAACCCCGGTCCCAAAGGATGTGCAAAAACACGCGTCGCCCATGACGCAACCGGACCGCGCGGCAGACAGCGCGGCGCCTCCAAAAAGTTGAATCACAGCCCCCCCCCCCCCCCCCCNCGATGCAGCGGTGCAGGAGCCAGCGTCGTCGTCGGAGGAAAGAAGACCTAGAAGTAGGTTATCTCGGGCCCAGATGAATAACTTTCTTTCTTTTTCGATTGTGCCGTCCGGTCTCGCGGTGCTGTGCGCTCATCGCCGGGCAGTGCTTTCCTCGCCTCCTCCAAGGTGAATACCGAGTTACGCTCCTACGATACCGAGTTACGGTCCTACGGTGCAGAGTTACGGTGCCCCGATCCCGCGTTTTCGGCCCAGATGCCCGGCTTATCCGGGCCCAGGAAGCCAACCGTCTCGTCGGATAAAAAGTGAATCCGTTCCTTTCCTTCTTCTTCTTCGTCAGTGGCCGTGGCCGCCCGGACCGGCCGGCGGTTTTGGGGCTTCAGTTTCCTTTTCGGTTCGGCGCCGCGCAGTGATGTAGCCCCGCGTAGTGTCCGTTGAGTATTCGTGTGTGTTGAGTTCGCAGCTGATCGGACTTGTAGATTTTTGTATCGGCTTTTGGTGCGGTGGATTCGGAGCCAGGATTTTAAACTTTTCCCTCAAGGTAAATGTTTTTGGATGCTTCGGTTTTCCGCGGGAGGGTTCGCTGATAAAAAGTATGGTGAATTTTACTGGAGGTGTGGTAAACTCATGGTGTCTGGAACAGTTAACCATGCTTATTCCTTGATTTTCCCATGACTTCCAGGAGCTCATTCCTTGATAAGAAATCAAAGTTCTTCCAAAATTCTCTAAGATTTTTTTTTAAAAAAGAAGAAGAAGAAAAAAACTGCATCACTCTTAGGAGTTCTGGATATGAATATTCATTTTTTCACATTTCAGCCGATTCTTTGACGCTTATTAGAATTTTTAATTCCAAAGGGTTTTTGACGTTTGATTTATCCGATACATGCAAGCCTCTTTATTATTCTAACGATTTGAATATTCAAAAGATCAATAATTGCGGCTCAAATGTATGTGCATTGTGCAATGACATAAACTTGTAAATGATCTCAAAGCGGTATCAGTGGATATTACCATTTTTCAAACGAATTCCCTAATTTTCCTTGAAATTTTTCATTCCCTGATGAACCCGCTTTTTTCGGTTTTTCACGTTCCTAGACAACATGGCTAAACTCCATTATGAGTCTACTTGATTACTGCACAGTGCTACTGTGCAGTAAAGATAATCAGAAATCTGGTAGCATTTACGATACTTTTGGTATAGTTGCGATTAGAATTCCTACACGGCATTTGCTCGTAAAAACATTACCGCACTAGATATATATTAAGGCTAGTTTCAGCTGAAATCTCGTATATCTCACTTTTTTCAATTACTGCACTTATGCGCACCTTATCCTTCAGGCCGGCTCATTTCAAAATTGCTAAATTTCTACTCACAGATGAAATTTTTACTAGGAAACTATTTTACCTTCCCAACTAAAAATTTCAATGAATTTTCTCCTGATCACACGCAAAAATCAGCAAAATTATAGAAATTGCCCGGTTATGTTCTTGTAAGAAGTTTCGTCCTTGCATTCAATTTTGAACAAATAATTTCATATTATCGTCTCGTTTTAATTTTTTTTTTCACCTCAAACAATACCTTCTTGCTTGACCAAATCACCGTCCACGAGATAAGGGTCTTATATCCGCGGAGGCAAAATTTTCGGCAAAAAAACTTATGTTGAGTATGATTAAAGTATTGGATTTATAAATTTCGATGGAATGCCATTTTTGGTCCTGTAGAATAAGTTGCAAGAGTGCATGTTCATCGTCGTGCCAACAAAGTACGTATATCAGCAATTTTATGCCTGTAACATGACAGATTAGAATTTGAAATTGCTTATTCATGACAGCTTTTCTTACGTTCTGCATAGTAGCTAACCTCAAATAACTATAACTCTTGTTTGGTGTGACAAGTTTGAACGGCCTATATTTGACTCCATCAGGTGCGTTTTCGTGCACGTACTTGAACTTTAAACGCCTTTTTGATAATTTTACCATTTTGAACAGCAATGGCAAAAAAAAAAAAAAAAAAAAAAAAAAAAAAAAAATCCTGAATAATCATTAGGAATTTATGTTCTTTTTTTTAAATTGATAAAATGAATCAACCTCCATCACAATCGCGCTGTCAAATAAAACTTTTCGTGAATTTTGCAACATCAAACTGCCCCATGTTGCAGCGGTAAAGGTCCGAGAAGAGCATGCATTTAATCAGATTACAGAGCGCTTTGAAGCCCCCCCCCCTTCTCCTCCTCTCTACGTTCCCCCACACGCAGGAATAAAAATCCACACCGAGAGATATCGGTCGCCAGGAAAATTCGTTACCCATATTTTACGGCCAGAGCCAAATTATGGCGGTGAACTTTTTTCTAAAGTTTAGACATAAATATTTCACCCGGTCGACGCACATGCGGAGGGAGGGGGGCGTATTGTTCGAGTTAATCACGTTAATGAACGCTTATTTGTCATTAAGGACGCTGAAATTGCACCCGTAAATAAACACAACCGTTGAGTAAAAATCGCGCGAGTCTATGACGGCCTAGTATTGGATATAAGTGGTTCTTGCTTGGAGGCCAGTCTTGTAGTAATAATCGCTGTTGAAAGCGCTCTTTTTTGACCTGGCGTGCTTCGGCATAAATTTAACTCTGGAAACATGTGTGGATTACACACCGACATAGTGCCTTGTCCATGGGAAACTTCAATTATGCAATCGTTGCGTTTCGCATACTGATGCATCCCGTGTTTGAGACGGGTGAAATTGTGATGATGCTCAGAATCGAGTAGTTTTTATCGGGCCATGAGTGCAACGGATCAGATTCATGGCCTAATTGATATTTTTTATTCGTTCACGGTGCAAGTGCATCATTTTTAGACCGCCTAGTTCTCTTTTCTGACGAGTCCCTATAATTTTAACGTATAGAATACGAATTTATGAATCTCTAAGTCCTGCTGCAGCTTTGCCGTGTTAAGGAAAAACGCCGTAAAAGCCATCAGGCGTTTCCAAATTTCCTTGGATAAATCACGAATTTTCAGGGAAATTTATGAATATTTCTCCTCCAATTTTTCGGCGAATTTTCCTCGTAATTCGATCATAATTACCAGAAAATCGCAAGGAAAAATATTCATAACTTTCTTCAAAAATGAATATGTTCTGAGAGGGACTTTGGCAACATTCAAATGCTCATACGGCGTTTTTTCTTAGCACGGCTGAGTAGTGCCATAAAAGTGCGATTATTTATTCGTTCCATCAATTTTCTTCGTCAAATTTTTACTCTTTTATTTTCAAGAATAGACTTAATTCGTGGCTTAAAGTTTCAGCAAAATATGATTCACGTGTAGGAGAGGCTTGTAGAAATTTTTGAAATCTAGCACTAATTGATGCAAATAAGGAATTTTCAGTTTTTCAGGCAAAATTTCGGGAATCTTATAAATTATGACGCACCTACACATTTTGCAGTTCTGCTCAAATTGTGCAATTTCGTGCTTAATTTGCTATTAATCAATTCGAATGTTCCATCAGAAATTTAACCCTGTAATCTACTGTATTTGTAGTTTTTTCTGAGAGGGGGGGGGGTTTAGTTTGCCGATAGCGAAAAGTGCAACTCCATTGCAATTTCTGAAAAACTCCGATTATGCTTTATTTTCATGAGAATAAATATCCAGAATGTCTCTTGCAAATAATTTGTGATAGTTAAAGGAAATTCACAAGGGATTCCAAGGAAAAATGCCAGCTAGTTTTCTTTACAAAAAAAAATACTAATACTCATAATCCAAGGTACACATTATTCGACGTTAGTCATCAATATATGCGTAAATTCAGTTTCCTACAAATAACATACGAAATCGTACGATCGGAGCGGGACTTAAATCGTCACTTTTCGGCCAAATTATCACAAGCGCCATGCGACGATTCATAATTTACGCCGCCATTCTATTTTTTCACAGAGAAATTCTTCAACAAAGCTGTCCAAAAATCCATTGAATTTTCTCTGTGCTACAAATAAAATCAGTGGGATTTTCAAACAGATTCAACCAACAATTTCTCTGTAAAAAAATGAATTGCCGGCAGAAAGTTTGAGACGTCGCATGGCGCCTGTGATACTCTGGCCGGAGGGTGACGAATGTCGTCTCTGCAAAAAATGTCTCAATTACAGAAACGCGTGTTTTTACAGCCAAACCACCGTGATGCACTTTGCGAAGCAAGTTTTTGCCAGATTTAACAACCGCGGTCGAAATAAGTTATAAACTTTTCCATTAAAGTGAACCGTGCCGCGATTGCCTTCCGAGAAACAAGGAGGCTAATTCTCCCGGGTCCCTCAATTAAGCATTTCATCGGAGCGAGATGTTTTTCGAGCTTTGGTTAAGTAAGCGAAGTGGTTTGATGACAAGTAGTAAATGGGGAGCAAGCGTGAGTTGTGGCCGAAAGAAAGCAAGATCGATGCAAGAAAAGTATTTTCTCTTCGTGTCCCGGCCGGGAGAAAATCCATTGAACGTTTGATACACCGAACTTTCTCGAGAACCTGCTCGATTAGAGATGAAGGTCACCTGGAAAAAAAAAATGGTTTGACGTCAGAGGAATTTTGAGGTTCCGGAAGTATAGTGTTTAGCCATCCACAAGAGTACATCAGTTTCGGTACTGTCCCAATGCTGCCGTGTTAAGGAAAAACGCCGTAAGAGCCTTTAGGCGATGCCAAATTTTCCCTGGCAAATCACTAATTATTATCAGGAAATTTTTTGAATAATTGTCTTCCGATTGCTAAGATCATTTTGTTCATAATTTGACCTAACACGTCTGAAAATTTCAAAGAAAAATATTCCTCAAAAATGAACATTTTATTGGAGGAAATTTGGCAACCGTCGAATGTTCATACGGTGTTCTTCCTTAGCACGGCAGAATGTGCCTGTTGCACAATTTTTTTTTTTTTTTATCGATTGAATCGAAAGAACTGAGGATCCTGATGTCAAATAAATTTTCCCGGAGCTTTTTGACAACCGGAAACTTTTTGATCATTAGATATGATCGACAAAAAGATAGGTAAAAGGAAATGGAGCGACTCTATTGGTTGAACTGAGTTTTTGCTATAGATTAAGGAGAAATGATAAATGATAAATGGACTAGCATTAGGATCTCTCGTGGATTGCCATTAGTAAGTCTATTATTTACGTTCTTTGTTTATTGCAACCACCTGCTTCCACCAATAGGATCGTTCCATAGGCATTTTTATTCTTTGTCTATAGCTTCGTCTATCTAATTCAATAATTAGCCTGCAGTTTGGCACATATAAAGCATCTCCACACTCCCTTTCATCCTAAGCGCCTGACGTCATATGCATGGAAGGCCCATGTTCATGCACATGACCATTCCCAAAGATTTTAATCAATCTAGGCGGAAAAGAGCAAGTACTCTCTTGATTTGAGTGTTTGTGTCCAAAGCCAAACTTTTTTCATTCTTCGTGTTTATACGCATGAAAACGCGCTTTGAAACTCACCGTTACTGTGACCGGGGACTGAAACCGTTTTCGTTTCACAGCCGAAGCCGTCAATTTCCGAGCTGAAACCGTT